TATAAGTTAAAACAACATTAGATTGTTCAATTAACACTTCTTTAAATGCAGGTATAGTTGGACACTTTGTTGCATCATGCCCTGACAATGCACAAATTTCACATATCTGATCATTAGTTGAAACAACAGATACTTGTTTTATTTTTTTCATCTCTAAGGCTTCCAGTTTTCAACATAAACTTGCCATTTTAGCTCTTAAATCATCATCTTCTTTTAACACATATTTTCCTCTTTCGGATGTAGATGGATTTTTTTCTACTATATTTGAAGAAGTCGAGTCCCACATCTAGGAACTTTAAGAAATAATATCAAAAAATTGAAATGCTTTTTCAGGATTTTTACTCATAAATTCCCCTTGTACTATCATTTCCACAAATTGTCACATTGTAGGTGGAAGAGCATCATAGAAAAAATTAACTAAGGTACAATTTTCAAATGCATGATGTGGACAAGCTTGGAGAAGATTTTTAAATCTTTCCCAACATTGATAAAGAGTTTCACCTTCTTTTACAGAAAAATTCATAATTTGACGTCTTAATGTATTTGTACGATGTACATGAAATTTTTTTTTTAAAGAACTCAGCTTGTAAAGTTTGCCAGTTTGTGATTGAATTAGCTCTTAAAGAACTAAGCCATTGTTTTGCTTTATCTTTTAAAGAAAAAGGAAATAGTTTTAGTCTAACCATTTCAGAATTATCTTGCAATGTTCCACATACTTCTTCAAATTCTTTCATATGCACATAAGGATTTTTAGTTTTTAGACTATGGAACTGTGGTAATAATTGTATTGTTCATGACTTAATATTAAGATTTGGAGCATCTGTTAGAAAAACAAAACAAGACGGGACATTAGTTCGTGTAGGGTGTAGATATTCTCTTAATGGTCGAATATTTTGAACTATTTCTTATTCTCTAGGTTGTTCTTCCTTAGGTTGTTCTTCCCTAGGTACGTTTCTAGCCATACTTAGTTCAAATGATTCTTGTGTAGATAAAGATGACGACGACGAAGGAGGTGAGTGATTTATAGATCCTACGGATGAATGTACAGACATAAACTATTTAAAAAAAACGCACTTTATATACATATAATACAACTAAACAACTTTTGTATCTTATTTGATTTCAAATTACCATTACTCCCCGACAACGGCGCCAACAATTTGATTCGCACTTTTTTGTGATCGGATTAATATTATACACCCAAGTATAAGTGGTCGAGTTATAGTTTTCTCGATTTTAAGTCCAAGTATCGATCTCACGAAGAGTGTGTGTAATTAGGAAATAAAATAAAAATAGTAAAGTTGTTTATCTTAGATAGGACATCATGTGATAACTTGTGATGTGAGTTTAGATTGATAACTAGTTTAATTAAAAAGTTATGTTGCAGATAGATTTAGACAATAATAAAAATTATCCTTCAATTTAAGGATCTCATATGCATTATATTAGTTAAATACTGAAAATGCTACCTTACAGCAATCAACACCATGTTACTGGCAAGTTAAGTGGTAGGTCTGATGTATATAAACCATCACGCAACAACTTCTTAGGTTAGCTGGTGGTATCCATGACAATTGATTAATCCAAGCAAATCAAAAGGACACACCATTCATGAGGAATACTTGAATTATTCATTTGTCTTCATAATAGTAGGTGCATACATAATAAACCATAACACAACCACTTCTTAGGTTAACTAGTGGTATTAGTCATAACACAACAACTTCTTAGGTTAGCTAGTTATAGATGTGTCAACTGACTAATTCGAGTAAACCAGAAGGACAAGTCATTCATGAGGAATACTTGAATTATTCATTCGACTCTATCTGTGATACATATACCAGTTAAACATCTTCAGCGTTCCGGTTGAGGATAAACCATATCGATAGGAATGTCGTAGTTGTTAGACTGACAATATTATCATTTATACCAGTTAAACAATTTGAGTAATCCAAAAGGACAAGCCATTCATGAGGATCACTTAGGTCATTAGTTTGATAGTTATATATATTTATATGGTAATTAAATAACACTGATATTCCATAAGGGCAAACCATTCATGAGGATCATTTAGGTTTTGTACCATGCATCAGTAGAACATCCTCAACGTTCCAGTGGAGGATAAACCATAGCGATAGGAATGCCGTGGTTGTTCAACCGACAGGTTGATGATGTACTGATAACATAATTTCAGGCACAACGCCGAAATTATGTACATCACTGTATCATGCATGAAACATATAATACATAGATATATAAATATATAAAACATCAGCATTTTCAAAATTTAATCAGTATTATACATATATTCACCTCTCATTGGAGGATATAAGTAACTACTCACGCCCCATTGCTACAGACAAGCAAGGAGTATGACCAGTTTTCATTACAACTGAAATTAAAATATAAACCCTAAAACGTCTTTCATAAGGAACAACTAAAACACAATCACCTTTATTATCAGTTATGACAAAAAAGTGACGATAGTTAACTATCCGAATAGAAAGATATAACAGAAATGTGGAAGTACAGAGTTTGGACTGAATTCTATGACGGACAGGATCGAGTTGTAACTTCTTTTCTTTTTCTTTCTTTCTTTTCTTTTTCTCTCTTGAACTTCTCTCTAAACTCCCCTTGGATCCGGCCTCATTTTGAAGTGAAGATGCATGACTATTTATAGAGGAGAATGAAGCATGAGGTGGAGGGATATTGATGAGCCGCCAATGATGGTCGTTCGGACGCCATCACCACCGCTAGACGGTGTGACCTTGCTGGATTTTTCCACTTGCATGTATGCTGACTCTTCATTTGTTGAAATTACATTTTAGCCTTTGTTGTTTCAAGGTTTTATACATTGCTCCTTGCATTCTCTGGTAATTCAGCATCAAACCCTGAAAATTTTAAATATAACACACATAAAACCCTAATTATCGCACAAACCATAATTAACTCTAATTAATAGTTTTTGGTTATTTTATTTTACTAATTTGACTTATTTAACTATTCTGATGTATATACTAATTAAGGTTAATCAGCTACCTTTCAATCTTCACCATTATTGGACTTCATTTAAAAGATGGAATATTAACATCATGATTGGATGTCTTGTAGAAATACTTGCTTGTTTGTAGACGGGTTGAGTTTCGGCACAGACAATTCTTGTAAATTTCTAGAAAGGCATCGAAATTATGTACTTAATTCTCACAATCCACCTTTATTTTCCGATTAACTTGCCATTGACATGAGAGTTAATTGAGTTACCAACCACAAGTATAATAAACCAGATGACTAACTACATGTTCAGATCCTCGAGATAAATGGTTACTGTTTACATTTTAAATTTATCTTATATTTTGTCTAGAAAACTCTTGAAAAGAATCTTGTATTCTATTTAGGAAATCCCATAACTTCAAACTCTCAAGGTTTCCAATTACTTGGTCTCTATCACTGCTACTTCAAAACACTAATCATAGTTCCCTGTGGATTAGACTCCGAACTTAACTGGATTATTACTACAACTTGATCGCCTGCACTTGGGTGTACACATATCGGATCAAGTTAATAATGATTGCCAAATTTTATTGGATATGGATCTCGTGGAGGAAAGAAGAGAAGCAGCTGTCCTGAAACTAGCCAAGTATCAAGAAGGAGTGTCCATACTCTACAATAGAAGGGTCAAGCCCTGAGAGTTCTAGGTGGGAGACTTGGTGCTCAAGAGAGTGGTGGGAAACACCCGGGATCCAGCGGATGGGAAGATGGGACCTAACTAGGAAGACCCGTACAAAGTTACATCAATAGGGGGCTCTGGATCATATAAATTAGAAGACATAGAAGGGAATGTTGTAGTTTGACCATCAAAAGTAATGAATCTAAAGAAGTATTACTTTTGAGAAGTAAAGGCTCATTTTTGCTCAAAGTCGCATTTTCGTGCTAAGTATATTGGCTCGGAATGGGCATGGCCCCGAGGGCAGAGTTTTAGAGACTCTTGCCCCCAAATAGACATAGGAGCATGACTCTTGGAAGAGGAATGGCCCCGGGGACAGAGTCTTAGAGATTCTTGCCTCCAAATAGACATAGGAGCATGCCTCCTGGAAGGGGCATGGCCCCGGGGGCAGGGTCCTAAAGACACTTGCCTCCAAATAGAAACAAGAGCATGGCCCCGGAGGCAGAGCCGTTGTAATCATGCCTCCGAGTAGACCTTGGGGTATGGCCTCCTAGGAGTAAAATGACCCCCGATAGGAAACTTGCAAATTTTACGCAAGAAGGATGGGACAAAAGGAGGATCCAGCGACCTTGGCATTACCCACGCATACCTTCGGCGTCAACATCCCTTCGATTCTCTAACGATTGACACGTCATCTTGAGCATGATGGGACACTCACCCCGAGATGCTCTATGGACCAATAAGATCACAACGCGTGTCACATGCTAATGTGCCCTCAACGTCATCTATGGGGACACATCACCTTGGGCAAAGATGGAACACTGACCAAGAGATCTTGAGAACCTATAAAAATTTGACATGTGTCCTTGACAAAATATTTCCTTGGAGTTTTTCTCTCCCTACCAAAGAAAGATGAAGCAAAGGGAAAAATCCTTCCCCCAAGATGCCACATTTGACAAAAATTTGGAGTAATATCATAAAAAGAAGAGAGAGGAGAAGAAGGCACACTTTTTTCCCAAAGACTCTTTTCCTGAGTGCTTTCTTCGCCCGAGGACCCTATTTCCTGAGGTTCTTTTCCCCTCGAGGACACTCTTCCTCCCGAGGGCTCTCTTCTAATGAGGAATTCCCCGAGGCTTGACACTTGGTGCAATGAAGTAGAAAATAAGAAAAGGGAGCCAATGAGACAGGAATCAAGAAACAGACAAGCAAAAACAAAAAAACAAAAGTCAACACACGGTGGGGGAAAAGTGTTTTTCATTCAAAAGGAGGGCTTTGCGTCCCTCAAGCAAACTACACGAAAGAAAGAAGTTACAAGGAAAAAGAAAAGGAAGAAAATTTAAGTTTGAGATGCAGGAGGTGGCCCATCAACCTCGCCGCCGATGTTCCCTCCAACATCTGCAAAGAGGTCATCAATACTGGCAGAAAGAGTGTCATCATTGTTGGGGGGAGGCACCTCAGTAGAAACAGCAAGGATATTGGCTTGGGGGACCAGAGGAGCAGAGTCAATGGTAGGAGTAGGAGTCGAAGTAGGAATAGTGGTAGGAGTCACGTCGATAGGATCAGGAACTACAGTCTGAGGAGCTGGGGCCGAGGTCAACTCTTGGGCTATATCAGCATCTTCAGCCAGATCCTTTGCTGCAAATTTTGCTGAAGCTTGCACCATGTCCTCGAAGGGGACATACTCGTGCATTTGGAAGAGTGGGGAGACGACAAGGATACCTGCTGCCCGAAGCGCCTCATCCCAGCCTGCCTTGAAGTACTCTCTCTTATTCTCTTAAAGGGCGACCAGTACGTCATTAGCGCATTGGTCAAAAATCTCCCGCCTTGATTTTCTATTGGCCTCCATCTCAGCCCTCACTCTGTCTAGCTCTTGGGTAAGAGCAGAACAAGTTTGCTTCGCCTCAGCCACCTTTGCCTCGAATGCCGATAGCTACTTGGTTGCCTTAGTGATCTTCTTCTTTGCATCGGTAACCAAGGCCTTTAAACTATCTATGTCAGCTTTAGCACCCTGGCTCTCCTTCAAAAGCTCAGCAATTTGGGCAACCTGGATGGATAGGGTCTTGTCCCGGGCAACAACCTCTTCCTTAGCCAAGGCAAGATCTCCTTGGGCCCTTTTCAGATCAGCCCTTAACCTATCACATTCCTAGATCCTCTCCCTTTGAGAGTGGAAGCATTTGGCAATGGTCGAGATCTACTGGGCAGTCTATTAAGAATAAGAAGGTAGAAAAGGAGTTACGCCGACGGAGAAAGGAAATGAATAAGGAAAGGAAAAATCATCAAGTGCCTTACCACCAGTGAACTCTAGATAATGGAGCGGAAGAGTTGGTTGACTAGCCTCTCCCGATGCATGTATAGATCTGAAAAGTAAGAATAAATTTTTTCAATTTTGTCGGTAGGATACTATTAATATACCATTTGTCGGTAGGGCACTACATATGCACAGTGTTATCAGAAGCGGACCGGACCGGCCGGTCGGACCTGTTCAACCGTGAATCGGGACCTTGACCGGTCCGGTTTCGTAATTGAACCGCTTAAGGAAGAAATCGGCTAAAAACCATAAAATTGGGCGGTTTTTTAAAAAAATCGTGAACCGGCGATTTTATAAAAACTGGCCGGTTTAATACCAAGTTAAAAATTAAATTACATAAAATTAAAAACTCAAGCTATTGCCCGTAGAACAGTCCAAAAGAAGGCCAGGTGACTCCAAGGCGACTTTGGCGAACTAAGACTGCGATCGATCAGCCACTGCCATTGATCATCCACTGCGAACAGGCGCACTTAGGCAAGATTTTTGGGTTAATTTTGACTTCTTTGACATTAAAAAAACCCTAACTTTTGGCAAGATTCGACATTCAAAGAACTCAAGCAAGATTTTTGGGTTAATGTCATCCATTGCGAATGTCATCAAAGATTTTTGGGTTTTTTTGAATGTCATCCACTGGATCGATCATACCCATTATTGAATTTTGTATGAAATTAATTTTGAAAACCAACTTGATTTTTGGGTTTTTTTTGTTAAGAATTACCTAATCAAGGTAAGTATGAGATTATTACTATTGGTCATGGATTTAGGATATTCACCATTATTGGGAATATAATTGCAATAGTGATCTTTTCCTTGGGTTGGAATACCGAGTTATTGATTACCCAAACAAAATAGTCTAGGGATTTAGGTATGTGATTTTCATTTGTAATCAAGATTATTATCATCCAACAGGGCCTAAGAGGGTCAGTTATACTAGATTGATCCATCATAAATTGCATGTGGTCCTAGGCAATGTTTTTGAATGCATTTGAATTATTTGTAGAAGGTGTTTCTTTTACTTAACTTCATTAATTTTATGACAAATTATATGTATTTGAGACATATTTTATATTTTTTAGTTAAATTATTATGTTTTATAATTATTATATATATATTTTTTTATTTTTTTTATTATATGGCCGGTTCGACCAGTGACCCACCGGTTGAACCAGTGAACCATTGACCTAGTCCTCTAGCTGGTTCGATGTCCGGTCTGGTTCTGATAACATTGAATATGCATCATTTAGGCGTAGGTCATGCTTAAGAGTATAATTTGAGTATGTCGTAGAAGAGAAATATGTTTAGAATGTTAAAATACACCTACTGTATGAATTTGAGTCTAAATAAAACTAGTTTTAAAAATTAGACAAAAATGACATCTCGGGTGGCCTAGGTGGAACCGGCCACTAGCAAAAATAAATTTTTTTGAAAATTTTCATTTAAAATAATTTTAAGAACTTTGGTTAAAATAAAATGTCGAATTGAGGTGTTTCAGGACGAGTTGTAGTGTAACGGGATCCCGGATTTATCAAGGGCAAAAGGGTCATTTTATACTTTTGCCCCTCCAGTATAAATACAGCCCCCTTAGTGTAAAAATATCAATTTTTGGGCTGGGAAGGGTCAGTACACGTTCTTGGAGGAAAAATGAAGAAAAATCCTAGGTTCTTCAAGCTTCAAGCCACCAAAACTCATTCCTAAGCCAAGATTCTTACAAGACTTCCTTCTAAGAAGTTGTTCCTCTCAACAAGAGCTATATTCTCACCAATTGGTTTAGCTATAAAGCGAACACAACTCCCTTGGTTTGAGAAAAACCATTCTAGGTATGATATTTTGCTAAGTTGGAAATAGATTTAAGTTTTCTTGTCTTTCTATGCGTTGATTAAATGATTTAGGTGTTTACTTGATGTTAGAAAATAATTTAGTTGGTAGTTGCTTTGAAAACTTAGAGTCATTGGTTTAAGTACTTTTGTGTTATTTGAGTTTCTTGACAATTTGTTGCTATGATAAAGGTGTATATTGCTTATGTGTTGAATTATTATATTCTATCTTATGTTCATGTAGAGAAACTCTTGTGGTTTGAGAGTTATGATTTATCCCATGAGTTGGTAATTTGTGTATTTGTATTTTTTTTGAGAAATTGTAGAAGTAATGAACATGAAACTTGATCACATGTTTAATTCATTGAATTGTACCTCACATTCATGTAGATAAAGTGTTGTGAATTTGAAGTTATGCTTTACTTTATGAAGGGGGCATATTTTAAGTTATACGCCACATGTTAGATGAAATGTTTCATAAAATTCACATTGAGAAAAATCATGGCATCTTGGCATACATGAATCTTTGGAACATAGTGTGGGTTGAACATTTGGTACTATGTATTATGAGGGTATAGATCCTATGGTGAAAAACTCAAAATCAGGACAATGACAGTACTCGCGGGCTGACGGGGGAGGACCGTGAAATGAGACATGGGTGGCATAGAGTTGCATGTTTGTGTCATGCATATTGACATTGCATCGCATTGAGGGATTACGAGATTGTACCTTTTAAAATGTACACTTGCACATGTCATGCCTTAAATTTATTCCTAGCATTAGCATCTTGTCATACCAGAAGTGGAGTTGACCCATTTGTGGGATATCATATTATAGATGAGACTCCCGGTACGTAGAATTGAGGAAGTATTAAAGGAAGGAGAGAAAAAGGAGCTTGAATGGATATTTGGCCCTTGGGGCATATTTTGTATGTATGGGTATAAGCACAAATGACTTTTATTTCAATTTGAAAAGTAATGGATTATAGACCTTGGATTATTTTAAAGTGTAAGGGTGTAAACCCAATTGATATGTAGGATATCTTTATTTAATGAGTATCATATGTGTATATTGTGACAACTGGATGTGTATGTTGAGAACAAGGGATGTATGTTTAATTAACATGGATTGTGGCTACCGAGTGGGGATGGGTTGTGATATACTTATACATATGAAATATTGTGAATATTAGGTGGGAAAAATGCTTGAAAAACAAAGGAGGTTATGTCAAAATTTTATGAAAAATTTAAAAACTTGCTAAGTGTGTAAAACACCTTTTAAATAGGTGTGAATGATGTAAAAAATGGGGGTTTAGAAACCTTGAAGAAATAGGCTAAAAATGAAAGAAAAGTGGCTTGAAAAACTTTAGGAAAACATGAGAAATGAAAGAGAAACCAATTTATCCAACCTAATGACCTTTCATTCACTTTTCTTCTTCCTTTTCACTCATTCCCTGGGTTTATGGAAATTCAGGGTGTGACAATGCACCTCCATGTCGGCGTCGAATAACAATGTCTCACTCACGACATAGGCAACATGAGGGGAGGAAACAATGGAATCGGTAACTCGGATTAGTCCGTTATCACGATCTCGGGCCCGGGGCCTCCACTCTTCAGCTCTAGGCGTCTGCTTTGGTGGACGGGTTAGAGTCGAAGTTGTTGGAACTGTTGTGGTTGTTGTTGTTGTAGTTGTAGCCGGAGGCGTAATGGGAGTGCCTCCACCACAATCGACCCCATCATGTCTCTGCTTGACCCTTCTCTCCTCATGTTGAGGGTCCCTCGAATGACTACGGTCACACCTTGTCGGCGTCGATGGAACTAGGGCCTCTTGGGGAGAAGGAGGAGGAAGGGGGATAGAAATTCGAACTTGTTGGTTCATAGTGATGGGGCCTGACCCTCAGCCATGTCCAGCGGCTAGGGTTGCTCTTTAACTGAGATAGTTGAGGTTGATAAGTGGTGGATCCGACATAACCACCTCAAGCACGTCTTCTTGGTTGAGTTGATGAAGGATGTCAAAATATGGCCAAGTCTCTTGACCCAATGTACTCACCTCGCTGTGGACGGTGGTGGATGGATCTCTAATCTCTGCCACTTCGTCGGTGGTTTCATCCTCGGTAGCCGCCTCTACTTCAACTTTAGTGGCTCTGTCGGGGTCTCCCTCCAAGTTCTACTATTAGATCCTGGTGTCCCACATCAGTTAGGGAGGGGAAAGTGACTGGGCTTATTAGTAAGCCCTTGCCTTACATGGTATAAGGCATTTTCTTAGGAATACTGTGAGAAACAAAGCCGTGAGGGTGGGCCCAAAACGGACAATATTATGCCATGTGGAGGGGGTGTTACATCTGCTCAACAAACTCCGACTGGTCAAGGTTGTGTGGAGTCTAGGAGAATTTTTGGTACCCTGGGGTGTAATCGAGAAGGAGGTGCACAGCTCGACCAAGTCCCCTATTCCCCAAGTAGTTCCAGACGAAGGTGATGTCGCCGATGTTGACTTGATTCTGAGGAAGGGGACTGTATTGTCATCAGGGATCCCTAAAACGGCAATAGTACACAATTATCAACTACAAGTGTTATAAGACCAGGTATTGAAGAAATCAAAAGGCAACAAGGATGAGAGGGAAGAGTCAACGAACTCATAGTCCGCCACTACTTGGGACACCACAAGTCGGCAACATACTCAGGACCGAGTCCCCTCTCCCATTGACTGTCGAAGATGAGAAAGTCATCTTTGTACTCCTTGTCAAAGTCAGGAAGGTGGGTGACAAGGTACATTATGGGGTCTCGAGCCTTGAGGTAGTACATCTGCTGAGGTATGATCCTCACCAAGGCGTAGCAGAAGAGGATGTCGTCTAGACCGAGATGTAGGTTCAGTTGCTCATTCAAGGCGACCACACCCATGATGATCCTGAACGTATTGAGGCAACATTGCCTCAAGAAGAGTCCAAACTGGGACAAGAAATGAAGGAGAAGAGAATAGAGAGGGAACCAGATGCCTCCCTCTATGATAGCCTTGGTATAAAAGGGAATCTCGGCATCGGTGTCGACAGTGGCACTGTGACGACCGACCTTAAATTTGTCTACTGTCACCTCAAGGGGATTGGAGTAATAGGCCCTAAAGTTAACTATCTGCTGTCAGCCTTTAATAGTATACTTCTTGGGCCTTAAGGGGCCAGCCTCTTTGGCCCTGACGTTCCTGTTTGGGCGACACCTCAGCATGTCTCAGAAAGCAAAAAAAGGTATTTCTAAGGTAGGAATCCCAAGGGACACTATAGGAGACGAAACGACGAAAAGAGGAGGTGAAGGGACTACTCTACACTATTAGAACTGAGTAGAGGGGGTCTGGAAGGCAAGGAATCGCCGAAAAAATGAAAAGAATAACGTTAAAAGACAAGGGTTAGAACCAGTATACTCACCAAGGAAGAAGGTTGCAAGAATGGTAGTGAAGGGTCTCCTTCTTTGTTGATTTTTGAAGAGTGTTCCAACTGGTTCACGCGAGCTATGGCGTCTCCGATGAAACTCTGACTGAAATCACTGTAGTCACTAAGTATGCAAAAGTGGAGAAGGTGGGGATGGGATCCGTTTATATAGGGTCAGTAGCCATCATTGTGCACAAGACAAGAAATGTGGCACATTGAGTGAAGCACGATCTCCGAAGGCGAGAAAATAGCTCCACAACTAAGGAGTGGTTGAACCCTTTCATCTTCTGACGCCACGTGTCCCATGCCACACGAAGATCCAGGGCTAGGGGCAGTTGATAGGATGCTTCAGTGAGTTCACAGGGGGTTGACGCATGTCCTCGGCCCTGAAGGAGTCCTAAGTCTAGGTGACGACACGCGTCCTTGGGGCGCCAGGGACACCTTGCATTTCTAGTAGAGACACGTGTCTTTGGCATTGAGGGCACCCATCATTCTGATAGAAACACGTGTCCTCGATACCGAAGAACACTCTTGCACCCTGTGGCGGCACATGTCCTTGGCGTGGCCAGATAGCCCAAGGATTGCCTATGGACACGTCATCTCAGCCTCCGTATAGGTTATTGACGGTTGTAGCCTGTTGACCTCAAATTTAGATAATAAATCATTAACTTACTTTCCCAAAGAAGTCAGGATGGCCAAAGGGACAAGACCAGCGACCAAAGGGGGCTAGACGCATGGCCCGATGTGTAGAATTGGGGGGCAAATTGGCAAAAATACCCCTGCTGGCACGCAGTCGTTCCAGAAGAGCATTTAATTATCCTTCAAGAAGAAGGGCCGTGCTTGCTGTCCAGGGTACCTCGGGGTCTTGAACATTTAATGCTCACTAACTTCCCATGCAAGGTAGGAGGCGCTTTGCCCAAAGACTGAACACTATAACCTACTACCTCCCAGATGAACCAATAAGCATATTACCTCGAAGGGACCCACCTATCAGTAATGATAACCTCTATGAAGGTATAAATAGTTATACAAAACTAAAGACAAAGGTACGTAAATCATTCCCCCTCAATAGAACAGTGCTTTTTCCTTCCCCTTTCTAAAATACTAACTTGATTGTCGGAGGGGATATGCTGAAAAACACTTCGGCGCCCTTCTAACTCTCTTTTTTGAGTGACAGTGATCTTCCCCGACTTGCCGGAACCATGCGGATAGCTGGAAAAACAATTCATCACCACTTCCTAGGCCATTTCTAGTGTTCCTTTGCCACGGGATCGTTAATTTTTCAGGTAATCCCGAGGTCACCAAGGGAGAAAGCTATTTTTTTTGTTTATTGTGTGAAAACCCCCGCGTACATTTTCCATGACATCTTGAACCTTAAAACCTTCACAGCACAAATACCCATCTTCAAATTTGGTGAAACAATGCTGAAAGTTCTGGATTTGTGCGTCTGAAGTTGAGGTTTTTGTAGGGTTTTGGGATAGTACAACCCTGAGGTTTAGTGTTCTTGAGTTGGGTTTGAAGAGTAAGGAGTGATTTTGAGAAGGGTGTGGAAGAATACGGACAAATGGGTTTGAAGGGCGTTTCAGTGATTTTGAGAAGAGCAATGCTCTATGATGTTATTTGCGGACCTTATTTAAGGAACTAATGATGTGACTTCAATACAATTATTGGATTAGTTGTAAGTTCTAATATTAGATAGAGCTCACAATCAATTATTAATATCGTAAATAAAGTTCTCAAATAAGGTCCAAATAGCATTTTCGTTTTGAGAAAAGAGTGGAATGAAAGCTTGACTGAGAGTCTTTGGGGTCTGAGAAGAACTGCTTGGTTACACACAAAATGTAGAGTCAAGGTTTAGGTTTTGTTGATGGGATTAGGGGCGGCTCCTCTACTTAATGGGACGATGTCGTTTTGTTGTTCTTTTGCACAGTCATTTTTCATACCCCTCAAAACTCTTTCCAAGTTCACTTCTCCTGCAAATTTGAAGATGAGTCTTTGTGATGTGAAGGTCAAGGTTCAAGATGTCATGGAAACTATCGAAAGAAGATCATTTTATCTGTACAAGAAGTCCCAAATCACAAGAAACTTTGAGGCTTATAGGGAGGCTTTGGTGGCTCGAATTTGATAATCGGGTACGCAATTAAAACTAATAATAATCTGAAGATTTTAGAGCATTTGAGGAAGTTGGGTTGTGGCACTGTGTTGGTCAGTGGTAACAAACTTAGATTGACCCATCGTGTCGGGTTCAATCCCACTAGGTATGTATGTATTGTGTTTGTTTTTAATCTGCTATGAAGAGAGAACAAATTTGAATTTTTTTTTCAACGTCATTTCCAATAAACTAATATGAAATTTTGACTTTTTCTTTCAATAAATACTCTATTTTTTTTATGGGAACATGTAAATGTTCTATATGAAACTTAGTAACTTCTGCAATTTGGTATTTCTTTATAGCTTTAAGTGTGATCAAACAAGTGAGAGTTCAATACTCTATTCCTTTTAACTTCATACATAAACTTGTGGTAGAATAGGTGTATCTTTAATGGAAATGGAAAGACGTTGGAGGATCTAGGGCTGGCTGCCCAAGAAGGCGTCTTTGTTAATATTGATAGCGAATTTGATTTGGATAATATCATAGTTGCTGCAAGAATTGCAGGGAAGAAGGTTAATGTTCTTCTTCGTATCAATCCAGATGTGGATCCTTAGGTGTGTAGCTGCCACACCAAATGCATGTGACACAAATAATGTAACCTTATCTGACTTTCCGTTATCTTGATATTAAGAAGGGAAGCTGTTGTGATGGGTCAATGGTTGATAACAAACGATATGAGAAAAATCTAAGCATTAATTTTTGTGTCTCTTGAGGTTATTAATTATGATAGGATCATCTACACTTTCATTATTTCCTTCAGTCATGTTAATTGAGTTAAATTGAAAAAACCACGTTAATTTCCCATGGTTTCAAGTATACATCAGCTAATGAGATACTTGGGAAGTGACGTTCTTGGGGGAAAAATCATGGTGAGCATTAGAAACTAGAAAGGCTTTTTAACGGGATTCTTTTTTTTTTTTTGGCTTTTACCCCATAAGTTCAGCCCAGCACAACCAATGGGTTCCATCACACAAGCATCACCTCTAATGTGAGGTTTCAATTCTTCAAAATAAGGAGGTCCTCGATCCTATCAATGTACTTCTTGGGTATTTGCACCTTTTTGAGTTTTGGCTTCCCCCAAATGTCTTATTGCAATTATTGGATATTGTACAAAAGATTAGCAAAACATTCAAGTCTCATTAGCTTTGATGGTTAAATTTTCATTGTCTGCTTGTGTATATTAGGTTCATCCTTATGTTGCCACCGGCAACGAGAACTCCAAATTTGGTATCATAAATGAGAAGTTGCAATGGTTCTAGATGCTGTGAAGGCATATTCTAATGAATTGAAACTTGTGGGGGGCCATTGCCATCTTGGTTCTACCATTACCAAGGTATTATACCAAAACACTGTTTCTACTTTTCATTTTTCCAATCAACTTTAAAAAGATTTGTTCTATAGAAACAATGTTCTCTACAATTCATTTTTCTTATGAATTTTTCCACATTAGGGACACGGACATTAAAAAGTTTGTATGAAGGAACATAGTGATGAGATTCGGGGTCCCCCGCGCACTTATATCGGATAATGGGATGCAGTTCAACAGTAGATCCCTTCAAGTCCTTCTGCGAGCATCTTGGGATTCAGAATTGCTACTCCACCCCTGCATATTCGCAAGCTAATGGGCAAGCTGAGTCTTCAAACAAGACTATCATCAATGGAATCAAGGAGAGGGTTGGAAAAGGCAAAGGGAAAGTAGATGGATGAGCTCTTGAATGTCCTCTGGGCATACAGGACCAATCCTTGGTCCTCGACGGGAGAAACACCTTATGCCCTCGCATACAAAGTGGAGGTAGTTATTCCATTGGAGGTAGGCCTCCCTACTATAAGAACACAAGCTTTCGACGCCGGGGATAACATTCGCCAACTTTGCTTGGATATGGATCTCGTGGAGGAAAGAAGAGAAGCGGCTGCCCTGAAACTAGCCCCCAGGTATCAAGAAGGAGTGTCCAGACTTTACAACAGAAAGGTCAAGCCCTCAGATTTCTAGGTGGGTGACTTGGTGCTCAAGAGAGTAGTGAGATACACCAGGGATCCAGTAGATGGGAAGATGGGACCTAACTAGGAAGACCTGTACAAAGTTACGTCAGTAGGGGGCTCTAGATCGTATAAATTAGAAGACATAGAGGGGAATGCTATAGTTCGACCATGAAAAGTAATGAATCTAAAGAAGTATTACTTTTGAGAAGTAAAGGCTCATTTTTGCTCAAAGGCGCATTTTTGTGCTAAGTGTATTGTCTCGGAAGGGCATGGCGCAGGGGGCAGAGTCTTAGAGACTCTTGCCTCCAAATAGACATAGGAGCATCACTCCTGGAAGAGGAATAGCCTTGGGGATAGAGTCTTAGAGACTCTTGCCTCCAAATAGACATAGAAGCATGCCTCCTGTAAGGGGCATGGCCCCGGGGGCAGGGTACTCAGACACTTTTGCCTCCAAATAGAAACATGAGCATGGCCCCGGAGGCAGTGCCCTTGGACTCATGCCTCTGAATAGACCTTGAGGCATGGCCTCTTGGGAGGAAAATGACCCTTGACAGGAAACACTTGCAAATTTTAAGCAAGAAGGATGGGACAAAAGTAGGATTAAGCGACCTTGGCATTACCCGTGCGTACCCTCGGCATCAACATCCCTCCAATTCTCTGACAATTGCATGTCATTTCGGAGCATGATGGGACACTCGGCCCGAGATGCCCTATGGACCAATAAGCTCATGACATGTGTCCCATGCAAATGTGTCTTCGGTGTCATCTACGAGAACACATCACCTCGGGCAAAGAACACTAGACCAAGATATCATAAGGACCTAAGAAAATTTGACACGTGTCCTCGATAAAATATTTCCTTAGAGTTTTTCTCTCCCTACCAAAGAAAGATGAAGCAAAGAGGAAGATCCTTCCCCCAAGATGCCATATTTGACAAAAATTCAAAGTTACAGTACAGAAAGAAGAGAGAGGAGAAGAAGGGACACTCTTTTTCCCGTAGGGTCTCTCCCCCTATAAGACTCTTTTCCTAAGTGTTCTCTTCACCTGAGGACCCTCTTTCCTGAGGTTCTTTTCCCCCCAAGGACACTCTTCTTCCCGAGGGCTCTCTTCTAAGGAGGAATGCCTCGACCCCGAGGCTTGACACTTCGTGTAGCGAAGCAGAAAATAAGAAAAGGGAGCCAATGAGATAGGAATCAAGAAACAGACAAGCAAAAAAAAAAAAACAAAAGTTAACATGATGGGGGAAAAGCGTTTTTCATTCAAAAAGAGGGCTTTGCGTCCCTCAAGCAAACTACAAGAAAGAAAGAAGTTACAAGGAAACAAAAAAGGAAGAAGTTTTAAGTTTGAGAAGCAGGAGGTGGCCCATCAACCTCGCCGCCGATGTTCCCTCCAACATCTCCAAAGAGCTCATCAATATAGGCAGAAAAGAATGTCATCATTGTTGGAGGGAGGTACCTCAGCAGAAATAGCAGGGACATTGGCTTAGGAGACCAAAGGAGCAGAGTTAATGGCAAGAGTAGGAGGCGAAGTAGGAATAGTGGTAGGAGTCACGTCGGCAGGAGCAAGAACCACAGTCTGAGGAGCTGGGTTAGAGGTCAACACTTGGGCTGTATCAGCACCTTCAGCTAGATCCTCTACTATAACTTCTATCGAAGTTTGCACCATGTCCTCAAAGGGGATATACTTGTGCATCTGGAAGACTAGGGAGTCGGTAGGGACACCTACTGCCCGAAGCGCCTCATCCCAGCCTGCCTTGAAGTACTCTCTCTTGTTCTCTTCAAGGGCTACTAGGACGTCGTCAACGCATTAGACGACAATCTCCTGCCTTGATTTTCTGTTGGCCTCCATCTTAGCCCTCACTCTGTCCAGCTCCTGGGCAAGAGCAAAACAAGTTTGCTCTGCCTCAGTCACCGTTGCCTCAAATGCCGAAAGCTGCTTGGTTGCCTCAGTGACCCTCTTCTCTGCATCGACAACTGAAGCCTTTAATTTATCTGCTTCAGCTTTGGCACACTGGCTCTCCTTTAGGAGCTCGACAATCTGGGTAGCCTGGATGGATAAGGTCTTGTCCCGGACAACAACCTCTTCCTTAGACAAGGCAAGATCTCCTCAAGCCCTTTCTAGATTGGCCCTTAACCTATCGCATAACTGGATCTTCTCCCTTTGAGAGTGGATGCGTTCAGCAATGGCCGAGATCTGCTAGGCAGTCTATTGAGAATAAGAACATAGAAAAAGAGTTACGCCAACGGAGAAAGGAAATGAATAAGGAAAGGAAAAAGCACCAAGTGCCTTACCACCAGTGAACTCTGGATAATGGACTGGAAGAGTTGGTTGACTGGCCTCCCTTGATGCACGCCCATGTCAGTGTTGAATAACAATGTCTCATTCACGGTATAGGCAACATAAGGGGAGTAAACAATGGAATTGGTAACCCGGATCAGTCTATTATCACGATCTTAGGCCCGGGGCCTCTACTCTTTAGCTCTAGGCATCTGCGTAGGTGGAGGGGTTGGAGTCAAAGTTGTTGGAACTATTATGGTTGTTGTTGTTGTAGTTGTTGCCAGAGGCGTAATGGGAGTGCCTCTACCGCAGTCAAGCCCATCATGTCTCTGCTTAACCCTTCTTTCCTCATGTTGAGGGCCCCTCGAATGACCTCAGCCACACCCTGTCAGTGTCAGTGGAACCGGGGCTTTTTGGGGAAGAGAAGGAGGAGGGGGGATAGAACTTCGAACTTATTGGTTTGTAGTGTTGGGGCTTGACCCTCGGCCACGTTTGGCGGCTAGGGTTGCTCTTTGTCTGAGATAGTTAATTTTAATATGTGGTGGATCCGACATAGCCACCTCAAGTGCGTATTCTTGGTTGAGTTGATGAAGGACATCAAAATTTGGCCAAGTCTCTTGACCCGATGTACTCGCCTTAGTGTGGATGGTGATGGATGAATCTTTGATCTTTGCCACTTCATCGGTGATTTCTTCCTCGACAGCCGTCTCTACTTCGGCTTCGGTGGCTCTGTTGGGATCTCCCTCCAAGTTCTGCTCAACAAACTCTGACTGGTCAAGGTTGTGTGGAGTCTACGAGAATTTCTGGTACCCCAGGGTGTAATCGAGAAGGAGGTGCATAGCTCGACCAAGGCCTCTCTTCCCCAAGTATTTCCAGACGAAGGTGATGTTACTGATGTTGACTTGATTCTGAGGAAGGGGGTTGTATTGGCGTCAGGGATCCTTGAAATGGCAGTAGTACACAATTATCAACTACAACTATTATAAGACCAGGTATTGAAGAAATCAAAACGCAACAAGGATGAGAGGGAAGGGTCGACGTACTCGTAGTCCGCCATTGTTTGGGACACCACAAGTCGACAACATACTCAGGACGGAGTGCCCTCTCCCCTTGACCGCCAAAGATGAGAAAGTCATCTTTGTACCCCTTTTAAGAGTTAGGAAGGTGGGTGACAAGGTACATCATGGGGTCCCGAGTAGTACATCTACTGAGGCATGATCCCTACCAAGGTGTAGCAGAAGAGGATGTCGCCCAGACCGAGATGCAGATTCAGTCGCTCATTTAAGGCAACCACACC